ATTGACCAAAATACCCTTGAAAAGTTTCGAGGGTATTTTGGTCATTTTTTTGTAAAAAAAAAAAATTCTATTTTTAGTAGGTGCTACTTGATAAGAAGAACCCACGCCTAAAAATTCAAGTGATTTGAATTTGTAGAAAAAATAAAAAAAATTCAAACACGAAATGAGGTCGTGACCGTAATATCTGCCCAGAACTACATATGAGTCCAACGACCCAGTTTTAGTCTAGGCCGATCTGACAACATGTTTTAATTTTAATATTTTTATAAATCCAAATCACGTGAAATTTTAAAACATATATGCTTTTCATCAAAGCACACCTAATAAAAATATTTAAAAAATACGATAAACTATGATGAAAATGCAGTTTTGGTGCCGCAAAGCCTTGCAATTATATGAAAATCTATTGTTTCACTCAATTATGAAATTTAAAGTTCCAGAAATGGTGACGATCAAGCAGGTCTATAAATACTTGAAAATGAACAGTCTAGATAATGTGTTAGAAGATGAATTATATCCCCTATTTTTCATGTTTTTGAATCTCAAGGTCGAGTTGACTGATTTAAGGGTTTTCTAGCATAAGAATGACCTTATCTTGTGGGCTTTTTAGGTGCACCTTACTGATACAATATAATATTTTTCCTATATATATATGGAAAATATTGAGGTTAGCCCACTAGCTCATATCTACATATGAGCCCAACGACTCAGATTGAATCTGAACCGATCTGACGGTCACACCATCACTTTATATTTAAAATTTACTTTTTTTTTACAAATCCAAATTACATAAAATTTAAAACGTGTGTGTGTGCATATATATATATATATGGTAATCTAACTTTATACATAAGTCCATAATTGACGATTTCAACCAAGGGTATTGTATAATAATCAGTTTTAAAGTGTGTACCTTTCATGTACGAGGGAGTTCTGAGCCAAAGATGCTTCTCGGCCTAAGTGAAGTGAGATGAGAAAGAGTTTATGGCAGACTTTAAATCAAACGAGTACAATTATTTAAGACCTGCCCTACCAATCGGATTAGTCTAATCGAAGGTAGACCTCTCGTGCTCCCTCTTTGATAAGCTTGGGAAATCACAAGCAGACCTTTCGTGCTCCCTCTTTCTTATGCGGCCCTGTTGCAATAGAGGACCAAAGTGAGTCGATACTATCTCGGGCAACTCAATCATTACTTTGAAAAACTGTTGCAAATGATATATAAATGGACGTGGTTTTGGTGAGTCAGTCGACTAACCTATTACCGTGTGGTCAACGTAAAAAAATGTTACATCCTCTAGAAGTTAAAATGGACTGTGAAGAAATGAATTTAAAAAATAACATTTATATTCTTTTGAAAAAAATTTCCAAATTTATATCATTGTCATGGTTGAGATTATTAAACTCTAAAATGTTGGATAAAAAATAAATCTTTGAGATATATTTTATAGAGAGACTGCACAAGAATAATTTGTGCCGCCGATTCACCAAACACTTTTCCTATATATATATATATATATATATATATATATATATATAAGGGTGCAGTTTGTATAGAGCCGAGGCTATAAATAATCAAATTAGAGCCACTTTCAAATAATGTTGAGAAATATGGTTTCAATACTAGAAAGTTTTGTGATAACCTTAATTTATACTTTCATCTTTAGTTATAAAATTTAAAGCTTCAAGAATAGTGTAGATCGAGCATATCTATAAAAACTTGAAAATCTTGAAAATTGACGGTCAAAAAATACACTACAAGATGCATTATTTCAAACACTTGAAATCTAATCTTTTCTCATGTCCATGCATCTTGATGTCAAGATGATCAATTTGATGATATTTGGGTATCAAAACAACCTCCTCTAGTGAAAAATTTGAGGTAGGCTCTAATTTGATTGTTCAGAGCCTATGCTCTATATAAACTTTTCCCTATATATAAAGAGACCATTTACTTTTGGAAAATTGTTTCATGCGGTGTGGACCGCATTTCTATATTTGTGGTCCCCGAGGTATAAAGCATCCATCTTAAAGATGGATGCAAATAGGTGGTCCATCTAAAAATAATTGGAACTAACAGTCCAAATGTTTTCTTAATAGAATAAATCATCCATCTTAAAGATGGATGCAAATAGGTGGTCCTTTTAAAAACAATTGGAACTAACGGTCCAAATATTTTCTTAAAATAATTATTATTTTTAATTTTTAAAATTTATTTGTGTTTTCATATTCATTATCTCCATTTAAGAGATTACATGTCCTTAAAAATTAGGTCAAAGAATGTCACGACCCTGCACTGCCGGAGGGCGACAGAGCGCTGGATCGCGATCACAGAAGTCGCGAATGTCACTCACGTGGGAGTGATTCAACGCATAAAAATACGGAATCAAGAGCAAACCACTAAAGAAAACTAAAGTAAATCCATCCAAGCAGACAATATCAATCCAAAAGAACAGGCATCTCATTCATTCATTATTAAAAGTTATTACAATTTTCCCAAGGCACTACTGCCCCAATATACACAAAATAAAATGTTTATCATGAATCTGAGACCACCAAAACATACTATGAAAGTCTTCATATGACGGCTTTCGAACTTCTGAACTTCGAGCTTCAAGTCCTCAAGACGGCTGCCCACCTTAGTATGGATGCCAGACTCTTCACTCCACAGTTATGAAGATAGAATGGAATGAGCTAAATAGCCCAATAAGCATATTTAAACCAGTGCATTCCAACTAGCATAACGGTGACAATAAAATGCCATGCACATATATACGTATATACATAGGGTATCAAATGAAGTTCCTCAACATGTTTCTCAACAGCAGTTCAATATACAATGCATAACTCACAATCACCTTACTTAAAGCAAAGCAGTAAGGATAACAAATCACAGGTACAATTAAAAGTTCATGCAGAAAGCTTAAATAGGACAGATAAATAGATCTATCTACTCTTAAAGTAGAAGCCACATCGGTCAGGCTAAGCCAATCCTGAACTAGAGACTTCTACCCTCACTCAGGAGGGTGGACAAGGATAAGTGGATGACCCACTTCCTAATGCCCTCACACACACACACATCCCCAACGCGCTTTGGGGTTTTCGATAGGCAGTGGTCTTGCAAGACGCGACCCTCCTTTTGTGTCATTTTTGGTGAGAGGGCATTACACTATCATTGGGTGGTCCCATGCGTAGTGCCAATATAGATCTGGGGGATATTCACATTCACATCTTGACTCTTGTCCTATCATGGGGAGCAGGGGAAGATCACAACTGCCGACACCATTATTCACATAGTAGGTACCCTTCCCAACAGGCAGCCGCCGGCACAATCATTCACACCGTAGGTACCCATTCATATATCATATAAACAATATGGTAACATCATTCACACAGTAGGTACCCATTCATATATCACATAAACAGTATTGTACCATCATTTACACAATAGGTCCCGATTCATATATCACATAAATAATATGGTACCATCATCCACATAGTAGGTACCCATTTATATATCACATAAACAATATGGTACCATCATTCACACAGTAGGTATCCATTCATATATCATATAAACAGTATGATACCATCATTCACACAGTAGGTACCCATTCACATATCACATAAACAGTATGATACCATTATTAGGTACCCATTCATATATAGCATAATCAGTGGTAATATCGCATTAACAGTGGCAATATCACGATAATAATGGTAATATCACACTTAAGCATACATCACAATTTCTGCAGTCATAGACCATGGCATGTGCTCACAGTTTGGGTCGTAACTCTTGGACCAATTAGAGTTTGAAGACGGTTCTAGAACCAATTTTGTGCTAGACGCACCAATCTTTCAAAGGAAGATGATTTAAATACAATCGAATCTTATTTGGTCCCCAAACGTTCACGAGAATGCGGGCCTAGTCGTTGTACTCTGCTGTGTGCATGAAACAATGACATACCCTACTTCACAATACTATAACTTTCAAACCGTGAGGAACTTGAGACATTTCCAAAAACCAAAGTTCATGTCAATACACATATATTTCTAACAAGGTCAATTTGAAAGGATTTGGACTCCGTTTGATTGTTCAAAAGGCCATGCCAAAATTAGGGGATAGTTCTAGTTTTTATCGAACTACATATTTTCACAAAATGATGCCTATCTTTCAATCTATGGGAAATTCGAAAATATTTTGTACATGAAACTTTTAGCCCTTCCAGGGATCTTTCAAATGGCTATAGTTTGGCAGGAATTGGACTTCATTTGGTTGGTAAAACCAGTGATTACAGAGGGGTTAGTGTAAAATCCAGGAAAATAGTCAAACAGTGACCTACTCACACAATTCGAAATTATCTCCCTTATGTAACATAAATATTTTACTAAACTCACATAGCTTTCCAATGGCTGTGATTTAAGGCAAATCGGACCTCGTTTGGCCATTCAAAATCCTTTTATAAAAAATGGTAAGTTCCTGGAAATTCACAGTGGTACTAAGCATGCCTCAAGAACAGGCTCCATAACTTCAATCTCATGCTGAAGAACATGATAATCACGGTTTCCTCACAATATAACCTCATAAACATATATTTCTTACACAACTATGATTCATGCATTCACTCATAACATTCACATTCATCATAATATAAAACACCAAATCCCAATATACTTCCATTTCTTATTTCACATACATAAATTTCCATGCATCCGTATGACTATAGGGCAATGGCGAAGGATCCACTTACCTACTCAGTAATGGTGTCTTCTCACAACTCTTCTTGCACAGCTCCACCCCCACTGCAACAATGGCTGCCCACCCAACTTTCCCCCAACTTGCCTTATAGAGAGAGAGAGAGAGATGAAGGCGAAAATGAGTGGCGTGAGAGAGGGAATAGGCTTAAGTATTCTTGAAAGCAGGGTGGCTTGTCCAAGTGGTGCTAAAAGGCTTAAACATCTGGACACGTGGCTTCAAGTCAGCATGCACTCTCCAAGTGGCACTTACAACTCATGCATGCAAGGAACTCGGGTGGCAGTGACCAGCAGGCGATAGCCCATTCTTGGCGCGGCGTTACCACTTGTGGGTGTCGTGCGCCCTTCATCATACTGCGCGCTTCTTCCTTTTGCCGCGCCGTGTGTCCTTTGCTTTGCCTTGCGCGCTCCCTCTTCGCCGTGCGCCTCCACTGCGCCTATCGCCGTGCGACCTCACCTAACGCCTACCGCCGCGCGACCTCACCCAGCACCTACCGCCCCGCGACCACTCCTACTACGCTCCTCCCTTCGCCACGCGCCTCCCTTCACCGCGAACACCATCGCCACGTGACTCTTCTCTCCTTCAATCGCCATGCGGCCCACCCTCTATTCATCTCGCCGTGTACTCAACTCAATCGGTCGAGATAGTCTAGGTCCTTACAAAGAATCCATCTAAAAAATAGATTTTTAATAGGTGACTTATTTCTACATTGACCCATAGAAACTATGTCTTTTACTTTTAATACAAAGAGGTCACAATCATTCTTGTCCGCCAGATTTCCAATCGAGTGGCAGTTAGTGTTTTATTGACTAGACTCAAAATTCAAAAAAAAATTATCGAACATTGTGACTCACCCCAAGCCATTCAATTCGGCATTTCATGGCTAGTAACAATTGTGACATCCTTGTAATAGAGATAAATGATCTCATACTATACAATCCCGAAAAGAAAATTCTTTTCTTTTTTTTCCTTTTCCATGGAAACAAGGATTACATGCTATTGGAGGAACATATCCTTGTACACTCACCATAGTAATGCCTTGATGAGGAGAACTTTTAGGAGCCGGGATTTTATGATGTAAATCAACCTCAAAAAATAAAAACTATTATTTACCTGAAAAATTATTGTTTGAAACTTAAATAGACTATCCAATATTTGGATTGTGGAATCTGTGTTTGGTAACTTAAAATCTAATTTATATTACAAAGTAGGGGCCAATCCCCATTGACTCACCCGAAAAAAAAAAAAAAATGGAAGTTCACAACCCAGTCCAATTCAAATATTTTAAGTTAATGAAAATTTTATAAGGTCCCGGTTTCTATGTGGCCAAGGTCGCATATGTAGAAATGCAGGTCTTTTAATAACTCTATTTTTGAGATAGATTTTTGACTTAATTTTTAATGACATGTAATCCCTATCATGGAGATCATGAATATGAATAAATAAATAAATTTTAAAAATTATAAATAATAATTTGAACACCTACTTGCATTCATCTTTAAGATGAATGCTTTACTCTTTATGGAACGCATATATAGAAATACGGTTCAACCAGCATGAAACAATTTTCCTTATTATAATTACCCAAAAAAACTCTAATTTATACCAAAAAAAAAAAATACTGATCTAGTGATTGCTCAGCCCAAGTGCGCATGGAAGATTCGGCCACATGAGAACGCCATATGCACTTATACATCCTAAGTTTTTATATGCTTGTAAGGTTGTTCATGTCAATGTAAGATTCAAGGGAAAGGGAGTTTTTATATGCTTGTAAGCTTGTTTAGGTCTACTTAAGTTTCAAGGAAAGGGGGAACGATGTTCCATGGTCCACTCTGGTGTACTAAAGAAAATAGAAGGAAAAGTCGTATCATTTCATTTCATGGTATACGTGTGGCATTTACCAGTGGTTAATAAGCTATTTTTGTTTCGTGAGATACGTGTGGCATTTATTAGTGATTAATAAGCTATTTTTGTTTCATGAGAGTGATATGATGATGTCACTATCTATTATAGTTAAAAAATATTTTTATTTCTATCAATAATTTCAACTTTACCTTGCCTTATCAATAGGAAAAATGATTTTACTCAATAAGACCATTTATCTTTGATACAAGGTGGTCACAATTACATACAACCATCCGATGTGATATTTGAAAGCTTAGATGTGTCACAAAGTTCGAGAAAATATCTCTTGAAGTTTAAACTTGGTCAATTGAATAATTGTTGCCACCCAATTTCACATCTAATGGTCAAAATTAATGTGACCACCTTGTACCAAAGGTAAATGATCTCATTGTATACTTTCCCATAAGATAAAGGTATAATGTTTAAAAATATCGAGGACATTAAGAAAAGGGAAAAGTTTATATAGAGCTTAAGCTCTAAACAATCAAATTAGAGCGTACCTCAAAAATTTCATTAGAAGAGATTGTTTTGATGCTCAAATATCCTCAAATTGATCATCTCGATATCGACATCAAGATGCATTGACTTGAGAAAAAAATGAATTTCAAGTTTTGGAAATAGTGCATCTTGTAAGGCATTTTGGACTGTCAATTTTTAAGTTGTTCAAGTTTTCATAGATTTGCTCGATCTACACTATAAGCTTTAAATTTTATAGAAAAAATTATGTAAATATTCATTATATTTCTTGTTATTACGAAAATATTTGAAACTTTTATTATTATCCAAATGTTCGTTTTTTCAACTTCATAACACATTTTTTAAAAAAAGACGAATTTGCCTATTTTTAGTTTTTGAAAAACCGATTTTTTTTTAACAAATTTTAGTTTCGAAAAACCGAATTTTACCGCTTGTAAATTGGTACATTAAAAAAATAAATAATAATAAAATAAGGTACATGTATAACATGATACCTATTTCTATCACTACTACTCAAATAGTGTATGGGTAAAAGCTGGTTTTGGTATCAAATCCTGCTCATTCCTTGCGGGGCATTGAAAAAAATTAGATTGGGTATGGCCCTCCAATTCTATGATGGGTTTTATTTTTTATTTTTTATTTTTTCTTTTTAATAAATAAAAATATCCATTTTTTATTAAAAAATAAGATTGCATGTGGTTGAAAAAAATTAGATTGCATATATGGGACGGACTCAAACCCTTGACGTTAAAGAATAGACGCATGCAAGATAACCAAAAAGCCAATTCAAACCCAAGTGTAAATATTTGATACATAATATTGATATTTAAAAAATTCAATTATTTTAAAACTAAAATTTAAAAAATTTCGATTTTTGAAAAACAAAAAATGGGCAGTTTCATTTTTTATTTAAAAAAAGTGTTATGAAGTTGAAAAAACAAATATCTGTGTAATAATGGAAAGTTTCTAGTATTTTCGTAATAACGAAAAATATAACGAATATTTATGTAATCTTCCCAATTTTATAATTAAAGAGAAATGTATATTTTAATTCTAAATAAATATTTGTAGCATTGAAATCACATTGCTCTACACTATTTATAGGTGGGCTCTAATTTGATTGTTTAGAGCTTTGGCTCTATAGAAATTGCACCTTTAAGAAAATAGGATTGTATAGAACGATATCATTTATCTTTGGTACATAGAGGTATTATGAAGTTCGAGAAAATTTCTTTTGAACTTTGAGCTTAGTACATGAAATTAATACATCCACTCAATTTCACATCTAATGGTCAAGAGACCATCTTGTATCAAAAGTAAATAGTATTATTATGTATTTTCTCTTAAAGGCCCATTTCGGTAGGTATAAATCTATTTAATCATAATAAATTACAAGGATATGACATTTATACTGTTTAGATACACTTTAATAATAAAGAAATGGAAAGAGATTACATGAGATTTTTCCAAAAATAACGAAACCCATTACCTATGGTGAGAGATGAAAAATCAATTACACTAAGGGTAATATTTGAGAAGAGATGAAAAATCAATTACACTAAGGGTAATATTTGAGAAATCTTTTGTGCTAGTCTCTGTTTACCTATCGCCCGCTTAAAAAATCCCAACTGGGAGAGTAGCTGCTGCTAACTTGAAGAGAGAAGCAAGAGAATCTTGATAAGCCCTACATAATCATAATAAAAATTTCACATAATATAATTCTCATAAGATATTAGTAAACGCTAAATTGAAATAAGATATCTCTTTAGTCTTCTCCAATGCCTCAAAATTTTTTACTGCAATTATCAAACCTTATTGTTTACTAATCTACTATAAAGATTTTGAATTTGGTATCATAATTTTATTGTTTATTTAAAATTGTATAGAGACATTTAAAATACTTCTATAAAAATATAAATAAAAATAAGGTTTATCACAATAAAATGATGTTATTCCAATCATATTATTCCAATGACTTATCATGTTGAAATCAAAGTCTAATCATTTTAGAAGACATGTGATTCCTTGTAAGTGCCAAAGCATTACAAATAAATAGGAAATGGTGCCATCTTGACTTTATAATGATACAAGTTATTATTAGAAAATCTTTTTAAAATGGTGATGATGTTATCATTAGAAAATCTTTTTGGAATGATGTAATGATGGCTTTAATTCTACATTTGAGTGGAATTTTGTGACAAAAAAGAAAAAATAATAACTTATTGTAACAAAAATAAAAAAAGAAGTGATTGTTTATAGGCAAGTGCTGGCAAAAGGTTGGTAACGCATTTCCCATACTTCTTTCTAAATAATATTAATGTGTTTTTTAAGTTGCATCTAAATACTACTCAAACAGTAACAATTCATTTACGATAATGTATTACGCTGATAATATATTTCACAGACAATATATTTTCATGTATTCAAACATATTCTAAAAAAATACTCATATGTATGAACACACTAACATAACCAGCGTATTGCCGGCTCTACTTTTTTCCAGATTTTCCTTTCCTTATTTTTAAAATTTCATGCGTCCCCTATTAATCCTGACTTTACAAGGCTCCCCTGTTTAACCTGATTTTTCAAACTACGGTTTGGAATCTAACCCTAGGGTTTGAACCTAGCTCATTCCCCTTCTCTATAAATAGCTCCTAAACCCTAAAGTTTCGCCCCGTTCCCTGCAGTTGAAGGGAATTACGAGAGAGAGAGAAAGGGTTCATTTCTGGTTGTCTCCTGTTTCTCTTTCTAGCCTTGCGCTTTCTATCTCCCCTTTGAAGCCCTAATCTGGAGCGCTCTAGGTTTTAGGGTGAAGCCTTCTTCCATTTCATTTGGTTCTCAGAAGGCTTAGAAACCCTAAGCGTTGCGTGGTTGAAGGATGGAGAGCGTGGCTTGATGATCATCTAGGGTTTCTAAGAATCTGCGGTGCAAGGATTTTTAGCTTGGATAAAGCTCTTGTATTTGGAGAGTTCAGGGTTTTTCTTTCCAGGAGTTGCGTCGTTACGAGTCATTTTTTTTTTGGGGAACCCTCAATCCTGCATGATCTAGGTTTTGGCTCTTTTGGGAAATCCTCAGTTCTTTGTTTCCCAGATCTCAAGTGTTGGTTGCAGAAACCTAAGATCTCTAGGATTTGAAACTTCTGGTGTTGTAATACCCAGGTTATAGGTTTCCCTGGTATTAGTTCCTTGCGATTTGAAGCTTTTGTGGATCTTAATTCCTGTGTTGTCTAAGGTTCGTGGCAGTTTGTCACAGGAGCCTTGTAAAATTTGGTTTTTAAAAGTTTTGAAGCCATATCAAATTGCAGTATCCAGGTTCTCTGTGCAAATTTTCTATCATACTTTCCACTTCCTCAAAGAAGCCACCAAATTCATTTGGGTTTTTCCTTTTGTCCGTTTACCTCTGTGCTTGTTGGTCACCTCTGTGCTTGTTGGTCGAGCAATTGGAAAATGGCAACTGCTTCTGCTGGTCCACGCTATGCACCTGAAGATCCAACCCTCCCAAAGCCATGGCGAGGCCTGGTTGATGGTAGCACCGGTTATTTGTATTATTGGAACCCTGAAACCAATGTGACCCAATATGAAAGACCAGTGGCTCCAGCTCCTCCATTACCATCAGGGCCTCCACCTCAAGGTGCCCCAAAGATCGCCTCTATCCCGGTCTCATTGGTTCAGCAACAATCAGGGCCACCAAATCAACAGATGGGTGGTGGATCATCGGATTATGGGCCGCAATCGGTGGGTGGTGCCCCATCTGGTCATGGACAACAGATGATGGTGGGTCAGGGTGTGATGGGAAGTAACGGGAATGATAGAAGGGCTGGGGATGATGGGCGACGTAATGGTGGTATGGATCCTGGCATGATGATGGGGCATCAACCGAAGCTTGCTGCAATTCCAATGGCTCGGAACCAGCAGGTGAACGAAGATTTATAGAACTTAAATGTTTGAATTTGCATTTTTTTACTCAACAATATTAGAAAAATTGCTGAATCTATTGTTATTTTCTCAGAAAAGCATTTATCATACGTTGGGTATAGGCTGATTTGTGGTGGTTGCATATTTTTGATGCTTTTTCTTTCTTTTTCCATGTTTTGATTCATGCATATATTTGTAAAGCATGTAGCATATGGGGTCGGATGCATGCAATTAAAATGGGCATTTGAGATCTGGATCATTGTTGGTTTTGATGTTTGATGATGTTGGGCTCCACAGAGATAATAGTACTTTAGAAAATGATGGTTATGTTGGTTGCTGTTGATTGTAAATATGTTCATCTACTGACATGGCTTCTGTGCTTCTAATGATGTAACTTTTATGTTTATTTAGTTTCATCTCTGCAATCTCATATCTTTGGTGTTTCAGCATCAGGTGATGAGGCATGGGGGAGTTCATCAACAAAATGGACCATCTGTCCCTTCCAATGGATCGAGTTCTGCTATGGGACATGTGGCGCATAATATGTATGCTCATGGGCCCAGTTCTCAAGCATACTCTAATAACCAACCAATGAGATCATCTACAAGAGATACAAGTTCTCTTACTCATGAGGGTTACCGTCGTCAGCATGAGATAACTGTTATGGTATGCATGTAAAAATTTAGTCACATTCATTTTATTATTGGTTTCTATTTGAAGTTTCCTATGTGGATTTGCTATTAAATTGGAAAAAATTCTTTGAAAACTCAATGAAACTAATTGAGAATACAATTTATTGAAGAAACTATGTCTAAACTTGAAATGTTTGACTCTGGGTAGGGGAGCTTTGCAACAGGAAGAAGCCCTCATTTTTTAGGGCTTTGATATGACTTGCCTCCACTTGTGCTAGGACTTCAAATTTTTTAGGGTGCTCTTTTTGTAGTGTCAAAGAAAAATAAGAGGGCTTTGCTTGTTGAACAAAGCACTCTCAAACATTTGTACAACGGCAAAGAACGCTAGGGATTAGCTATTCCAATCTGATGTTAGTTTGGTGGTGATGAGCACCTTTACAATATTGAAAGTTGGATTTGTGCTTAAAAGTTGTGAATATGTCTTATCAACAAAATGTTATGAATGTGTCTAATTTTGAGATTTGCAAGTTGATTATGCATGGGCTGTAGTTCATGAAATGAATGAAATGGATGGGGTTACTTTGATGCAAATGTGAATCAGTTTTCTGTATTACGTTTTCAAAATTCTTTGCTTTCAAATTTTAAGAAAAGGTTTCCTCTTTATCTTGATAGTCACATATTGAAGCTGTTAACTTATGACTTTTACTAATGGAATTGCTTAGGGAGACAATGTACCGGCACCTTTCATGACATTTGAATCTACTGGTTTCCCTTCTGAGATCCTGAAAGAGGTATGCTTTGTCACAATTGTATTTTGGTTACTCTTCTGCATTCCTTTTATTGAAGTTTGTGAATGTTATAGCCAACTATATGATAGAAAATGTAGAACCAAAGCTTTCGGTATGCTGTAAGTGCACTCTTAACATAATTGATTCTTGTATGTTGGTTTGTGGGTTTCTGCAATTACTTGAGCTTCAAATATTGAACTTGAAACTCATGCCCACTTTCCATCTTCAATTTTGTTGTCGCAGGTGCGATATTAGCTCCGGAGAGGAGCTATTGTCGTACGCTGTGGTGCTGTTTCCCGCCTTACATTTGGGCGGCGGCTTTGATGTATTCGGAGCGCCCGTTTTTGTATGGTGGCGGACCAAGGGCTTTCCGAATCTCTCAGTTTGTGGCAAGGGCTGCACCGATGGTTCAGACTGCTTCAAAGAAGAAGCCCCTTACTCCTCCAGCTTGCTAGAGCAGCAAGCGGATACCATCTCTACTTTTGTTGGTGGGGATGTGCTTCTTCTGGAGCTGGTTTGCTTCATTAGTTTTGAGATGGGAATGACAACTGGTGTTAAGCATGCGAGGATGGCAAAAATCTCCTCGGGTTTTAATAAATGGCAAGAACCTTTCTGTGTTTTTGAGATGCACTAAAATGCCCTTTGAAGGTGTGGATGGTTTTTCCTTCTCTCCTTACCTTTCTTATTCTAACTTGGCTGTAAGTTTTCGTTTCCGGATTACAATTCTATTGGCCAGATTACTGGAATAAGCTATATCTTTTCTATTCAAACTTATGGATTTCTTTTCATGTTCTCCCCACCTTCAGTCATTTTTTTTTTCTTTTTTGTGCTCTACCCAGAGGGCTTGTGAAATGTAATGTTCAATGTTGGTAAATGTTTGTTTTTACACCAATTTTGGGAATGCTAGACATTTGGACAATGATTTTTGTGTTTCTGAAATCCAATTGCTTTAGTTTTACTTGGAAGTTGCCCCTTTTCCTAGACATGACATATTGGTCCTTCCCTAAAGCTGAACAAAAACTGTTATCTGCAAAATGCTATCATCTCTTTTAAAACCAGGGAGATTTTCGCCATCTTTCGTGGGAATCCATGCTGTTGATATGGATTAGTTATTGAGGGGGGAGTCTTTCATTCAGGTACAGCATGCCGGATTTTCCTCTCCCACACCAATACAGGCACAGACATGGCCAGTAGCCCTTAAAGGTCGGGACATAGTAGCCATTGCTAAGACAGGGTCAGGGAAGACCCTGGGTTACCTAATCCCAGCCTTCATTCACTTGAAACGCTTGCGAATGGATCCTGGAATGCGGATTGATCCACGAATGGGCCCTGTTGTGTTGGTGCTATCTCCAACGAGGGAGCTTGCAACACAGATCCAAGATGAAGTTGTGAAGTTTGGTCGTTCATCCAAAATCACATGCACGGTTGGTCTTCTTCCTCTTGCTTGATACGCTTTCTCACATGCTTAAACATTCATTATTCATAGAATGCATCTTTTCGTGGATTACTTGTGTTCCTTTGGCATTATAGAACATGCACATGTAGTTTATTTTTTCCCTAAAAAGGGCAGTTTCTTTTATTGTTGTGGTTTTGCTGGCAAAACTATTAGAATTGTCTGGAATGCTCACTTTCTTCGGATGTAATAGTGCTTTGTGTGACCTTTTGAAAGCATAGAGAAGCATCCATGATGAGGATCACACCACAATTATTCTTTTAATGCGTTTCACATCTGATGTAGGAACTCTACAATCATATTGTCTTTGATGTAATCTAAATAAGGAAGGTTAGTTTAAAACACATGGAGTTATTGCAAAGGGAAAGTACACCATATTGCAGTGGAGTATGTTGATGGCATTCCTCAACTTCTACTGTCTATTCCTGATGTTGGTCGTTGGAGATAAACCACATGGTGAGATTGGCTATACGTCCCAATGGTGAAGATCAACCTCGTTGTGGTTCATCTCATCAACTGTGTCATATACAAAATTCTATAAGCTATTGGCATATTGAATGATTCCTTGTTTTGAGTTAAAATTATTGTTGACTTTTTGTGTATAGTTGTTGGAAATGTCTGTGATTCTGAATTGTTTTAGAAATCAGAATCACGGAATTGTGGGTGTGAGATGATTCATATAGTTGGAATCGTTGTCCGTACTACGCAAATCACTTGTGTGAATCTTTAGCATATTGGAATCGCGATCCAACATGTTTCATATCTTGTTGGAATCAGTATGCAATCAATTTGGAATCGAGTTTCCTAACTTTTTGGAGTTGCATATCAATCCACATAGATCAATGCCATCCAAAATTGCGAGTCAATAGAATAGGAATTGCGGTTCCTATTTTGTTGGAAATGATGTCCCATCGATTTGGAATTGAGATTCCTACCTTTTAGGAATCGTGCACCAATCCCTTCCGGACAATGCCAGAAGTTTTAGGTGAAAAGATTTGAAGTTCTATATTATTTATATAAGCTTTAATTCTGGACACCATATGTTAAGTACGATTACGCGGGGCTCCCGTATTATTTGGACCGATGTCTTTGACAGCCCTCCCCTAGCATTGGACTCGGTGTATTGAGTGCTAGATGTGTGGCTAACTAGATCATAATGGGCACAACACAATATAATATTGCAACATACAAAAGTCCAAAGGTGACCCTAATATGTGAATAATTCCTTACTTTCATTGCAATACATGATGAATAAAATTAACCATTAAAAAAAGATCTATATGTAGTATGTGTTTCTCATGCTTATTTTGAGGACAAAATGAGGAACTGCATCTTCTAAGTAGGAAAGAGTCTTTGATATTTGGAAGTTCTGCTTTTAGAGCACCATATACTTAGATGCTTTATTGAAAAACCCTTTCAACATCGGGATCAATCAAACTGAGAAACTAAACCAATATTTGAATGTGCCTTTCATGCATCTTTTGATGACGAAAGAAAGATATTGCATCTTCTAGCTCAAAAATGTGTCTCTGTGATGTAGACCTTGAGCTCCTAGAGAGCAATGTGCTTTGATGCCTTGTTGAAAAACCATTTTTAATTTCGCGAGGAGAGTGATGAACTGGTTAAGTACTTACCATTGATACCTGCAGGGCTTAAGTTGAAGTTGAAAATTCTGGTTGCCACTTACTGCAAAATACATTACTAGGTACCTTGTTAAATAATCAATAAATCTAGAAATTTGCATTTGAATTTTGATTCCGTGTTATGCATACGGATGCATCCGTAGGTGTAGAGGTAAGGTGCACGTTCAAATTTTATCATGG